GGGGAGGGAGGGCAATACTTGCCGGCCGGTTTGTTTGAAAACGCGAACGCGACGCGAACACGTGGAACTTAGGAAAATAGATCGGCCCGCGATTCCATAGACGATTGTCAAAGCCGGATAGGGGGAGGGAAAGAGGAAGGAGGGTTGTCTATAAGAGAGATCGTTCGCTGAAATAGCGAGCGTATCAAGAATTCACGAGGGGCGCAAATAGCACCGCCGTGAGAAAAAAAAAAATTTCTTCCCCTTTTTTACATACATACGCGTATGATCATCCAATCGAATTCAATTTTTCAATATTTCAAGATGCTTTAGAAGGGGGTCGTCATCCTCGGCTCCGGCCGAATTTACTCATCGAATCCCCGGGATTCACGGGGTCTCGCGGAGGTGAACGAACCTGGGGATAAATTCGGGCAATTCGCCGATTCGATTGATTAAATAGAAATTGATATACCGTTATAATATATACCGGTATATAATTTATCTTGGATAGATATTCTTTAGACATTTATATTTATTTATTTATTTATAGAACATTTCTGCTCGATTCTCGCCACGCTCGATCGTTATCGACGTTTATTGTATACATCAATTCAATGTTTTCCTATATATATATATATATGTGCGAGAGAGTAGAGATAAAAGAGGAGGTTTCCATTTTAAAAAAACCAGACTACTCGCGCGATAAAAAAAAAAGGAAATAAAGAGGATTGCGAAGAGAAAGGTTTTCCTTCGCTATCTCGAAGATGGGATTCGTATCTTAGCAATTATAGTAGTGTTTTATTTTTTTCTAAAAAAAAAGGAAACTCTATAAAATTAATTTTACAGAAACCCTTATATTCACCGGGTCTCATAAAATGGATAAACCAACGAAGAGACCAAGAGAGGTTGGTTTTCCTTTTGGTATCTCGAAAATAGAAGTCTTGGCCACTATTTTTCCTAAGCCCTTAACCAAATAACAATAAAATAGCATTTCTAATTTAGATCGGATCTCGTGAAAAGAGTAAAGGATAACTATACTAAAACTAGTTTCCTTTGAAGATGCAATTTCAACCACCTCTTTTATTTATTTTGTACCTCCCCCTTTTTTTTAAAAGACTCCAATATTAATTTCAAAATATCCCTCCTATACATCGAATCTATACAAAACAAAGAAACCAGACCTGCGAACAATGTTTCTCCAAAAACTCCACACAATTAATTCCCATTTTATTTACACCTGCCTATCTATGAAACAAAACAGAAAGACACGAAAGAAAAGCGATATTCATTCTTCCCTATCTAAAAAAAAAAAACAGATTTAATTTCCCCTTTGAACGATCCTTCGTTCACACACTCAAGAAACTAACCAAGAGGTAATCGCGAAAGGGGTTGATTTCTCTTTACGTATCTCCAAGAAAGAAAGAAAGAGAAGGAGTCCATCCTAACTCTCCAGACAAGGACAAAATTAATTTTACGAGATCCTTGGTACGCGTTCCATGTTGCGACACAAAAAGGGAAACACCAGAAACCGAAAAAAAACGTCTCAGCCTCCTCCCATCTCTTCTCTTTTTTCTCCTTCCTCCCCCAAGACACGCCAGAGCTGGGATATCGTCACGAGTGTGACGAGCCTTCTTGGGCCAGAGAGAGAGAGAGAGAGAGAGAGAGGGTTCCTCGGAGGGGGTTGCCAACAGTGCAACGAATGGAGATCGATTCTGAGTCTGGGTCAGGCGAGGGCGTTCACCCCCCGGTGCAGCCCGGGAGACACGGAACCCAGGGTCGTAGCTAGGGGTATCACAGGAGGGGTACTGACGCTCGGCCGAGGGGGGGCGGGTGGGTCGCGCACGGGACACTCCCTTCCGCCGACGGGGGTGCAACGTACGCTTCTCACCCTCTTTTGTCCGAAACGAGGAGCGACGACGGCGGCGGCAAACGCGTGCATCCCTCGTGGATGGGCCGGCTCCTTTTCGACGGCCCCGATCCGACTCGCCTGATCTTCATTCGCGAGTCAAGGATCCCTCCCCGTGATTGAAAATGGAGGAATCGACGGGTCGTTCAACATCCGTCCAAGGATCTTGACAGGGGAGGGAGGGGCGTGGGAGAGGAAAGTAGTAATTGCTATAAGAGGATGACGGTTTCAAACCTGACAAGTTGTTTCTACCAAGATTACTCATTGTTACTGTTAGCAAGGAGGCACAATGGTATATGGTAATATAAATTTGTACGATTAGTCGCGATCTCGATCGCATCCCTGCATCCCAACTCTGGTGGCCGAGGACGTTAAGGACGATATTTCTTTCGTTAAGAACACGGGGGAACGTAATATCGAAAGGGAGGAAAAGGGGGGTTCGTTGTTTGCCACTTCGTATTATTCCTTGTCTTTGTCCCTTTGACGAGAGGGAGGGAGGGAGAGAGAGAGAGAAATAGAGTTCCGTGCTCGTCCATTGGAAAGGCACAACAGTTTCCAAGTACATCGAACTGTTCCTATAAGATAACAGGGTTGCGATAAAATAGGTTTATGATAAAATTGGGAATGGCGAGATGCTAATTAGGACGTGTTATTAAAAATCGATCGAGAGTGGAGGGATAATTAGAGTGGACGGTGTTGGAATAAATATCCGGATCGATTTTTAATGGCCAAGTGATAAATAATGTAATAGGGGAGGAAAATGGACGTGTTCAAAATATTTGTAAATTTGGGTGTTTGTATATCCAATTTTCATTTTCAAGTTCCAATCTTCGTATCATCGCAAAGAACGATAATTTAAAATGATTTTCTCTATATTTATTTTATATCGTGTCGTAAAGTGTGAAACGAGCAACGATTTAACGGAGAGAGAGAAAAAAAAAAAGGAACAAAAGGTTTCTTTTCATTATCGTTATGGTGGAAAACTATAATTTATAACATGAATGGCGTACAATGTGTTAAAGAACAAATATATTACGCTTTCGCGCAATACGTTCAAATATAATGGATAATTTATATCGTGAAGTGTGTACGTTCACCTTCTGTGAACGTAGACATTGGATACAATAAATTTATATTCTACGTTTTCTACGATACGTAATCATTAGCGAGAAATTTCATGTTACATATTAGAAATCAAAACGAACAAAAATTGTAATCTTCTATTATCACGTGTTTCGAATATAATTCATTTCGATGAAATTGTAATTTAATTGTAACAGGAGAATAAGCGTGACATTTATTAAATTTATCCTTTCCTATCGATATACGTTTGATTTCGATAGATATTCTGTTGTTCAAACTTTGTTATTTATTATCTAAAAACAGAAGAAAAAAAAACGATATTACTTAATTTATATTTAATCAGATGGAAATTGTTGTGAGAGATAATGCGGCTCATCCCTTTTTCACGTCCGCGTTGCTCGTATCCGAAATGCAGGGGAACAGTTTTTCATACCTTCCGCTTTAACCTGACTACCAGGAGCGACTCCCAGGACGAGGTGAACGATCGACAGGGTGGTAGTACGTGACCTTTTGCTCGAAGGATAACGGTAGGGGTGAAGCGGGGACTTTGCCCCTCGGTAACGGGGGTGAATGCACGTACGACCTATCTGCCCCCACCCCTTTTCACGAGCACCGAACTATTCAAGTTCCCGGGGCCGGCTAATTAATAATCTTTCCGGTCAACTCGCCGTCCGTTTGTTTATCGACGATACACACAGATTAAAGGGTAAAAAGTCGACTCGTGCGCGGACGAAAAGGGTTCAATTTCAACTTACTTCCTTAAAATTTTCTCGCGTTTTCGTCGGAACCTATTTGTATGCAACCCGCCCTGAAGCGGTGCACCGAGCGCAGGATCGATCCGCGTTTCGGAAGCTTTTTCATCTCGACTACCACGCGCAATGCATTTAAGCTACCGATTTGAATAATGATATATTCCGATATACGTTTGATTACGATATATATTTCACTCTTTGCGTCTCGTTTAACGAACGTTTGTCGCGGAGAAGAAAGTTGATAATAAGTTTTATACGATGATATTATTCATAATAAAACTTTAAATATTATATTTTATTTTTGTATAGGTAGTAGAGAAATTTTTAATATGAATGAGAAAAAGGAGAATTATTTTCTTTTCTTTTCTTTTTTTCTTTTTTTTTTTTTTTTNTTTTTTTTTTTTTTTTCTTGAAGAAATATCATTAATTGTGAATAATGTTACCATGAGAGCAAATGTATTATGTCAATGAAGTTTTTAAAATGAATACATAGGGAGCCACGTGTCAAGAATTATTTAAAATAAAGATTTATGATGTTTAATAATATACAGAAAATATTGTGCGTCAGTAATTAATAAAATGTAAATATGAATAAAAGTTTTATTCCTCTATCGCGCAATCTAAGTTTTTCCAATGTAAATAAATACAAATGGATTTATCAAATAATGTTAATATAAATTATATCGTTAATAATATTATTAATAAAATAATGTTTTTGTTTCAAAATTATTGGTATTGCGAAATAATTATAGATGTAATAGAATTCCCTTTACCATGTTACTATTATTTCTAAGATTAATTACCGATAGAGCATAAAACAAAGTCGAAAGAATTACTTGTTCTGAAATACCGACCACGCAAAATATTAGAATGCCATCTATTAAAGTAATATTTTTGCCAAGAGATGGCACTAGTAGTCCCATTTCTATCCTATTTCCTATTTTTATCCTATTTCTATCTTTTTCTTTATCTACTAGCGTTCCTTGTCTACACTTGCTATGCGCTCAAGACACGGCGCAATTTGATTTCTAACGAATATTTTGTATGAATATTGAATATTGAATGTATATATTATTATATTATTTATAAAATGTCATAATGATATATCAATATCATTCTTGATATATTATTTAATGATTTGATTTAAAAATATATATTGATTCAAAATATATAGATAAAATTTCAGTTTCAACATCATGAACAATTACGTCACATACTTGTATAACACTTGATTATTATTTGTCTTTATATGCAAAGTACGTACATATGTATTAATTTCAAAATTTACGAGTAATTTAATGTAAAACATAAATTTAATAATAACTTTATAGATACTTATATAAATTGTGTTTTAATAGTAGTATTATGTATAAATGTACGAATTGAATTCGTGTACTAATAAAAGCTTTATTGAACAAAAATAATGATACTAATTTTTAATGTAATACTAATAATTACTGCTTTACTAATCATTGTTTTGTTTGTGAGATATTTCTTTTGGCGAAGACGACTAAAAAACGTTAATAAAAAACATGTTGTTGTAAGTAATCAGGCATTGATGCTAACCTAACCTCTATTAAAAAAGTTTTACGGTATAAATAAAATAAAAAAATTTTATAAATTTCTATTTTCTTTTTTTATTAAAAATTTTTTTTTTTAATAATATTATAAATATTATAAAATATTTAAATTTTATAAATATTATATGAAAATATTTATTGAATTATCTTTAATTCATTTTAACGATAAATTATGCGACTTTTCGAAACTAATCATAGTTATATATTTTTAAAAGTTTTGGATATTTATAAAATCTTTTTTTTTTTTTTTTTTGTATCAGGTAACTGGTGGATCTAGTGGAATAGGAAAATGTATTGCAATTCTTGCTGCCAAATATGGGGCACATGTGACAATAATTGCAAGAGACATTCAAAAATTAGAGATTGCAAGAAATGAAATCATTCATGCATGCAAAAATAAGGATATTCAAAAAGTTGAATATTTATCTTTAGATGTTGGTGAAGATTATGATGCAATTGATAAAGCTCTAAATGACATAGAAAGAACTATGGGACCTATATATATGTTAGTGAATTGTGCTGGAACTGCAATTTGTGGCAAAATTGAAGACACTTCACCAGCAGACTTACAAAAAATGATTAATATTAATTTCTTAGGATCTTATTATTGTACAAAAGCTGTTGTTCAAAGAATGAAAGCTGCACAAGAAGGAATTATTGTATTTACTTCTTCTCAAGCTGCATTATTAGGTATACATTATCATTGTATTTAAATATGTATAATTTATTTTATATTGTATAATTTATTTTTCTTGTTTTCTAGGTATATTTGGTTACTCAGCTTATTGTAGTACAAAATTTGCGCTTCGTGGCTTGGCAGAAAGTATATCTATGGAACTTGCTCCTTATAATATTTCTGTGACTCTAAGTTTACCTCCAGATACTAACACTCCAGGTTTTGCGATAGAAGAATTATCTAAACCTCTTGAAACAAAACTCATATCGAATACTAGTTCCCTTGTCAGTCCAGAATTAGTAGCAGATAAACTTTTTAAAGATGCATTGGTAAGTAAAATCAAAATATTATTTTAATTTAATTAACAATGCATTTGATGAAATAAAATATTTTTTAGGCTGGAAAATTTTTCTCTACTGTTGGTATGGAAGGTTTTATATTAACTGTTTTATGTTCTGGAATGTCACCATTTAATTCGATTCGAGAATTATTTATCCAATCAATGCTGATGGGTATTTTTCGTCTTATAAGTGCCTGCTATCTTGTACATTTTCAAAAAATTATTTTAAATTGTATGAAAACTCGCGATAGAAACAAAAAATCTGAATAAATTTTTTTTTTTTATTTTTTACAATCGCATGTACAAGAATTTATATATAAAAGAAATATTATAATATACAGCATTTGTAACTTTTTCAATATATGCATAATAAACGTCCAGTACTTGCAAAAATTTTTGTACTTTTTCATCAATGTAATAAGCTTATTTTTATTGAGTTATTTAAAATTTATATTTTATATTATTAAATTTAAAATAAAAATTTTTATCAATATATCTATTGTAAACTTTCAATGCAATAAAATGAAAATTTAAATAAAAAGGAATAAATTTCGTTCATTATTATAAAGGTAAAAGGAATATTAGAATCAATTAACGGTTTGGCTTACTTTTATTTAGTATCCCGTAATTCATAGTATAATGTTCTTCATTAAGCTTTATGGTTCTTACACACATAGAACGGGACAGTTCTCCTCGTCCCTGTTGTCATGATACCTTGAAAAAAAAAATGTAAACGCTGAGACTTCGTGTGTAATATACATTTTGATGCGGACGATGCCCCATTGTGATGATAAACGCTCGCATCTGGCACTTTCCAATGCATTGAAAATGTCCTGTGCATTCGTGTCGATTATTTTTAATAATTCATTAATTCTCTTTCAATCTTTTACAAAACAGAGAAATCCACACAAAGCATCGGTCGATTCAGTTGCGATTTATGCCCTTGGAAGGGCAGCGTCCAGCATTTGAAACCGAGGTTGAACTTATGCAGAGAAATGGCGAATAACGAAGATGTGTCTTTCAAAATTGTAAATCGGTAATGATCGGTTTAACATTGATTTATTATCTTTCTCTCTCTTTCTCTCTTTCTTCCTCTCACTTTCAGACCGATCATTTTCTCTTTTTACCTTTCTTTCTTTATCCTTTATCTCACACATACATTTCATCTACGCGTCCGTACTCCCGCTCGTTTCTCATCCTCCGTCCATCCACGCAATTGTATTTCCTCGGCATCATCTCACGGATTCGTTAAAATCTATTCCGATTTATTCTAAAGCGCTCAAAGGTGTACATTATAGAATCTGCGAGACGAGGCTTGCTTCGAGGGTCATCATTTTTTCAAAATTTTCGTTTAATTTATTTACGTTAATTTTTAAATCGATGTTCGCTTATTCGGGCGCTCGACAAATGCATCCATTTTCCCCTCCGTTGATCCCTAACCTCTTTTTCTCTTCGATCGTTTTATTCTTTTGAATCGATTGTACGTTGCGTGTAATTTAAAATGCTTGTTATTAGCTTCGTCGAACGTTCGAACCGGCAAACGGCACGCGTTAACGTTTAATTAGACCCATTGCTACGTGTGATCTGTCGCGCATTGGAAACATAACTATCGTTATGATGAAGTGAAGTTGTCTCTGAAAACTGAATATGTTCACGATGGATCGATTTTCTCCTGTCTCGATCGAGACTCCTGAATTTTCTCATCGAACGGAAATCATTCTATTATTTTCCAAGTATTTTTAAATACCAATGTTATATCTTCGTTCGTATTTTCGTTGAACGAAGAATCGTGGATATTGTTAAAGTGTCAGGAGCCTCAATATGGCTTTCTATTTATTTTTTGCAAGATAAGCGCGACGAGACATATATTAATATCGTCGATAATGAGGAATTGATGAAATCTTCTCCGTCCCGAGGGTTTCGATCGACGACTGTGTATTTTTTATTTATTTCTAACCCTCTACAGCAAAAAATTAATTTCTACGTATTAATTACAATTGGATTTACATACGAAATCAATTATTAATAATAAAAAAACAAGCACAATGAAACGTAAAGCGAAACAATGATAGTATATTCATTTAGATATAATGATAGTTTTATTTAAAAAAAAAAATGTATTTGTGTGTGTTAAAGTAAAAAAAAATAAAATTATACGAACGAAAAAATAAAAAAAAAATAAAAAAATAAAAATAATTAATCACATTATTAAATATCACATAAATATCGAATTATACGAATCTGTATCGAATTCATTTATATTATCAGTATTTTGCTTTTTTTTTTTTTAATTATTTACAAGATACAACAATATCATCGTAAATAAATATAATATTTTAATAGTAATAAGCGGTAGAGGGTTAAAATCACAATAATTATACATACGCAATCAATAACACGGAATCAATATTTCGCATTTGTTATTTCGCGGAGATAAATTTCATACCGCATCAATATACAATATTCTTTTGACAAAATTTACTTCTTTATGAAATTGTCTTACCTGCAATCCAGTTTCCACTATCAATCACGACTTTCATCGTATAACGCACTAATAACTTCATTTTTAATGTTTTTTTTTTTTTTTTAAATAATCGAATTCGCAACTTCAGTTGTAAAACTGATTGCTAGATCATTAATTCTAATTTATTTTCGATCAGAATCTCATCACCATCTCTTATTCGTATTATCTACTATCGAAAAAACTAACTTCGAGTATCTACGCATAAGAGCACATCGACGAACTGTCAGGACGGTCAATCATCACACGAAAAAGGATCTTTCGATATTCGCGTACCGCGACTCTCGGGAACGGGTACGTATTTTTCGCTGGAGCGGATTTGATATAGATGATTTCCGATTTCAAAGATAGATTTGACAGAAATATATCAAAAAATATTATTTACTTTAAGTAAAATTTTAAACATTATTATATATTTACATGGAATATCATAAATTTGAAACAAGGAAAAAAAAATACAAATACAAATGTATTACGCTTATGCAATTTGAATGATCGAAGAATAATCGAATCAATCTCATAATATCATCTAAAATCAATATCTGCCCCGCGAGCAATCGACAAAACCGAGAATACATAAGATATACGTACTCAAGCCTGCAAAGGCTGGCATCTTAAGAACAAAAAAATTCGCGACACTTAAGAGCTACTATAGACAATGGTACAAAAATTCAATGCTGCCTACGACATTAGTATACCTTAGACGACGTTTTTATTTAAATCATTATTATTATAACCATCATCACCATCATCATCACCATCTTAACCTTTTCTCTCGTCTCCTCTTTGTTATCTGTCATAATAAAGGGGCGACGAGGACGAGCGCGAAAATTACAACTTTCTTCTTCCACCTGGCGAGGTGAGGCTCCAGTTGTTGTAACAAAAAAGAATACAGTAAACGGGCAAGCTTTAATTGTAGCCTCGAGGTGAGCCCTATCTTTAGCCTTTTCTTTTTATGTTTCGTTACGAGTAGCCTCGCGAGGCACGGGAAGAAGAAAGGGAAGAAACGGTACAAGAAGATTGTTCCCGGTCGTCCCTTTTTTATCTTAAGATGCGTCATTCGACCAACGCCTTATCACGTCAGTCCAACGAACAACTTTTTTTTTACTTTTCGCGTATGTCTCTTTTTTTTTTTTTTTACTTACCCTTTCACACTTTTTCTCTATTTTTCTTTCGCACTCTCTCTCTTTCTCTCCCTTTCTTTCATTTTCTTTCGTTCCTTCTTCGAGTGTCGCATGTACAAGCATACATTCTTTTTTTCTCTCTTCCCTTCAATATCATTCGTCTGTTCGCACACATAGAGTTTCACACGCGTGTAGTTTCATGCACACACAATCACTGATTGCCGCGAAAAATTCACGTATACGCGTGTACGTCCATACCTGGTTACATTATATCAGACAATATAATCCTTCATTTATATCCGTTCTTACGCTAGGCGTTAATTAGTGTTACATCTAATCGCGTGTGGCCGGCCCGTGCTATCCAGAAACGCACTGAACATAGCTGCGTTCCTTTTTGTTGCTCGATGCACCGATGTGCCAGAAATACGCGACGGTGCTGCCTTTTACTTGTCTTCTAATCTTTTCCCGCACTTTTAATTTTTTCATTTTTTTTCACTTTATTTTCTTCTTGTCGTGTTTATTCTTGCAAACGTCTTCACATAACGAGAATCTCTCGAGAACGTTCTTGCAATAGATTCGATTGAATTCAAGAAAAATGTAATTAAATATGTACGTTATTTATCGATTAAAGGAATGTACAGAAGTTTGCAATAGATTGACTAATGATCGATTAAAATTTGAACGAATCAAACGACACGAATATTCTCGATTTCAAACTCTCGAAACCAGCTGTTGTCTGGTCTGAACACAATCTCGAGCCGGTTAGCACGGGCGGCCAGACCCATTCGAATGCGTTTACGATCCGAAAAATTACACAGTAACGTTATTTATTTTTTTCTTGTTTGTTTCTTTAGTGTAACACGTACGGCATATCGTTAATTAACGTTACGTTATTTATATACTATATATTTACAATCACATGAATCGTAGATATTCTAATGTATCGTTCGCCTCGTTCGACTAATTTTCTTTCTCAGTTCCATTTTCCCCTCCCCAATCTTTTCACCTAACCTCTATTTTTCTTCCAATTTTTCCATAGTTGTTATTCACAATTATTTACCATTATATTCTCACGTCTATATTTCATTAAATACTTTTCTCTCTTAATTTTTTACCCCATGTTATACCTTCTCGTTATTTTCACCATGTTATTTATTGCGCCGCTTTTTCTTTCATTCGAACTGAAACTTGTTCAATATTTTAACACCATTGTGCAACGTATTCGCGCGCGTACACACATATACATATATATATTTATCTGTTCGTTTGTATATATATATATATTTATATATATATTTATATATAATATAAAAAACAGTATCTTCTATCGCTTGCGAGAAGAAAGCAAAACAGGATGCCTTAGGCAATCCAAAAAGCTGTTCGTCCGTACGTTTATACAGCCGAACATGCAGAATGAGAAAACAGTTTGGGTCTTTCAAAATTGATTATGATCTTTTTTTGAACTTGTTCCAATCGATTATTGTTCTATCGTCTATGTATCGTTTTATCTCTCGTCGTATCATCGTGTGATTGCTGATGAAATATGAAAAATGTCACAAGTAAGTGAAAATTTATAAATTATGATTTTTCGTATAATTTTATAATAATAATATAGCTTTATCGATCAAAATTGATGAAAAATTGTTTAATATTCATAGAAAATTTTAACAATTAATAAAATAAAAGAAATATCTATATAGATTATAATTCTTGAATATCACATGTCAATAATTTTTACGTCATCGTTTGTTCGATAATAATTGGTGATTTTTTTCTGTTTTTTTTTTTATGTATGACCCATTCCGTTACGAAACTTGATGCATGCACGGATATATAATATTTTATTGACTCGTGTCTATACTCAATGCACTTTAAGTACCAAAATTTATCATCGTAGATCGTCTCGAGGCAATCGGTACGTTTCATTTATATCTTTTTTTTATTCGATTTTCTGTGTTATAATAATCGAAATATTAATAGTAGAATCAATCTCCTCAAACATATTTTCGAGATAGAACACTTTTGAATTATATAGGCAGTGACATTTTACATCATAAAAGATAAAATTATTTCAGTCCTCTTATAAATTTTTCAATTTTCGTTCGAAAATATTCAGGAACTATATAGAAAATATATAATATGAAGAATATAATATAAGATGTGAAAAATATAATATAATATGAAGAATGAATCTTGTTATTATATAAGTGGTTCTTTAATAAATATGATCTTAATCTTACATTTTCTATAATCAAGATAATATTATAAGATAGTAAAGATATAAATAATATAGATAATATTATAATTAATTTTTAAAATTAAATTCTTATTGATTATTTATATAATTATCAGAAGAAAATTTTGAGGTTAACTTGTAGACTTAAAAAACAAAAAAATATGGATTTTTATACTAAAATGTAACTAATTAATTTAAGTATATTATATATTTAATAAACTTTAACTAATATTTTTAATTATAATTATAATGGTTTAAAATTTTCTTAATTGTAATATATTTTTAATCAAGTTTTAAGATAAATTACATGACAATTGCTCGTTTACTCTAGCCAAGTATCTTTACATCACTTGTAAAAAATATGATTTCATTTACATAAAAATTCGTAATCTAATTGTTATACTTTGAAACCTTAATATTCTAATTCCTTTTCATTTACGACTTCTATAAATCTCACTTAATCTCAATTGTTAGTTGACAATTATGATATTTTGTTTTATTGCCTTGTATCGGATTATAATAAAGTTTCATACATTCATGGTAATTGCATTTATTCGATATTGTTCTCGTGACTTAATGAAAAGATTCGGAAAAACGGAGAAAATTATTCATTCACACATACTTCATGCCATCGGATGATTTCAACGTATCGTCTATCAAAGACAATCGTCGAGATACATCCCTTCCTCGAGACAATCTTCGAATGTACACGGTACACGGTCGAGTATAGACACATTTCGCTAATCGTCATTCTAGTCGAATATAATTAATCACATCGCTTTTAAAAACTTCATCGAACAAGTTTCAATTCTATCGAAAGCGGCGCGGACGAAGTTCTGTCGGCATCCCGCGATTATCTTGTATATTCTTTCAGTCGCTCTCTCGACCTCTCTCCATTCCTCCTCGACACTCCTCGACCTACTCCCAACCCCTATTTCCATTTTTCTTCAGAGTCACACGCGCTCGTCATCGACTTAATCTCGATGCGAAATAAACTACGAAACCCTCTCGATGTCCCCGACAGAATCTCACCGATCGATCACGAAGACTTCGTTACTGTTTGGCTTCCCTCGAGAAAGACACGAAGATCGCGAAACACCTTTGACAACGGATCTTTGGATGATGAACAAGGAGGGGAGGAGCTCGCCTCTCGAACTTCGCGTCTTATTAGTCGTCCCTTCGTTCGGGCTTACTGAAGACTTTTTTACACGATCATTTAACACGACGGTGTTACTTTTTATATAGGCAAATATGTACAATGATTTCGTATGACGATTCAGCGATCAGTTAGAATGATTCGTTATAGAACGATGGAGGATGCGTAACGAGGGTATAAAAGGTTCTATATCGCGCGTGTTTGAAATACACATTGGAAGATCGTATATTTTTATATGTATAATTCCTATAAAAAATTCGTCTTGTTGTCCCGCTTTTGAAGGTGAGGATTAGAGGGAGGGTGTTCGCAAGCTTCGTGTCGTTTCGTTTTGTCCATCGCTCGACCATAAGTAACCACTTTTCTACCGCGTGAAGAACTCGCACCGATATCACGGGTAATCTCCCCCCGAGATTAATTAACCCCTAATTTCTAACGGCCGGATCATACTATCTCGACACACGTGCGTTATCCTGAATTTCCCTTATAAACACGTTCACAGAGTAGAATCGTCGTTGAGACGCCCGCGATCGACGTCGTTCACGGATCCCTATAATTGATAGTGGATCGAGTCGTTCGAAAAGCAGGAGTTTCGATCCTTCGTTGTGAAGATTTCTCCTTTCTGAATGTACATTTAATTTCTCGACGAAATTCAATCACTGAGCCGCGTAAACGAAGAAGAAAACCGACACTTATTCGAAATCATTTTTTTTTTCTGTTCGACAAACGAACTCGACAATAAAATTCGGCTATATTTTATTCGGTTGGATGAAGAATTTCGATATTTCTCTCGGTTATCTTCGAACGTGAACACGCAGTTTCTCGTCGCGCTGTTCTCTCGCGGTTTTCCATCGTTCCCTCGATCAACTTCTCTCTCCCTTCATCGTCCACCTTGCCACGAAGTCTTTTTTTCCGAAGAAGCGTGCACTTTCCCTCGCCTCCTCTTGATGTAACGTTCCCTCGAGGCGCCTTCCGGGTCTCGTAGCAGGAGATAATCGATCATCTTTCGACACAGTCCAGCTCCCGTTTCTGATTATCGTTCCGGCGCGAAGTAAGATGGATTCTTCGAGTAGAGGACCATGAGGATCACAAGGGCGAGGACGAACAGGCGGCTACCATGACTCGAATAAAGCGTCACGACGCCTGCCAGCCACCATAACGTCGGACAACCACCCGGTGCCGAGCTGATCCCTCTTTGAATCGCTGCAGGATGCTCCCCTGTATCAGAGAATTGATTTTTACACCGTTTGCTACTTTTATCGCGGCTTTATATCGCCACCAATATTTAATACTTCTCTCTAAAATTTTATTTTATTTTATTATTTTTTTTTTTTTTTCTAGATACCGTTTCCCATATCTGTAATCTGTAATCGTGAAAACTCCGTGGAAGTTTTTTTCAGATAGAAAAGTCGATACGGCTGTTTTAAGGTAAGTTTATTATGTTTAAAAAAGTTAAGAAACTGTATATTTTCTTTTTTTCTTTTTAATTTAAAAAGTGCGAAACTTTTAATGAAATTGAAAGTTTTCGCGATAATGTAAAATATTCGATATTTTATACTTTCTTACTTATTATTATAAAATTTAAATATTAATAGAAGATTCATGATTGAGACTGAATGAATATTAACGAACCTTACTTGAATTTCATATTGTTATAGAGATCCGTTTTCGTTGCGTTTAGACTTCTAATTGGATTTGAACCAAGAACTTGACGAAGGATTGACCCGAAACTGTGTTGAATTATCGGTAAACTAATTTCCAGAAAGTTACCATCTTTTTATAGTAGAATCCGTGCCCGTATTTACTATTACATTAAGTTTAATTACTCTTTCGAATCGAGAGGCTTGATCCAAAGTAAATCTTTATTAGATTTGTAAAAGGTCTTTCAAAAGCGCAAAATATTTTATGAACAATAGATCGAAATGCTTTTTTTCTTTCTTTTTTTTTTGTTTTACGTCACGCAATACGAACCTCACGAAAGTTATTTAATTTCCAGGAATGCGAAAATAGGACTCACCATTTAACACGTGAAGCTGCACGCTCGCGCTGTCCAAACTGCTCGGACTGCAAGTGTAATTTCCCGAATCTTCCCGCCTCGCTTTATGGATCAGGAGACTGCTGATTGTGTCGTGATCGATCCTCTTCGTCTGGATGTCGATTTTGTTCAATTGGTAGTCCAGAACGCGATCACCCTCGTGGTACCAGAAAACGTAGAAAGGGCCCTCGAGAGATTGCTTGATCACACATCGTATCGCAACTGTACTTCCGGTCTTCACGTACATGTCGCGGTCGCCTATGATCTCGATCTTTGGCACTGGAAAATCACAGCTAGTATCTATTTTTTTTTTTCTTATAATTCAATGAATTTAAAGGAAATGCATTGCATTGTAATATATTCTTGAAAAATGTTTTAATCTACGTAAAAATATCAAGTTTTTCTACTGTGATCTTATAAATTATGCTCTGTGATTAGAAAAAATAAAAATAAAATTTTACGATGAAATAGTTAATTACGCAATAGATGCTGTAAATATTGTATGGAATTCTTGATATTTTGATCTATTCGTTGATAGTATTAATTACTATGATAAAGAATATTTATATATTTCGTGATAAAAAAAACTTTGCTTCTACTACGATTATCATCTATCGATAGCCGAGTATCGCGAGACATAACATGTACAACATGTTAATTATAATAATCTATTATTCTTTTTACATCTTTTTCACTCGAACAGTGTATATATTCGAAAATATATATTATTTCTTGGGTTCAACGAAGATTAAAACGATGCCGATTGCCGTGGGTCATCCATGGCCCATTCGATATGTTAAATGTATCGCAAGAAGGTGATCGAACGACAAAGAAAATTAATTATTAGATATACGGAGCGATTATCCGAGCGGACAGTTTAACGCTCACACGTACGAGTGTTACGTGAAAGAGAAAATGTCTGTATTTTACGCTCGTATAATTTTTTATCACGTCGTTGGAACATGGTTGACGAAGTGCTCCGACGATCGATGACAGAGCTCTTCTCGGCCGACGTTAAAAATAATACTTGCGTGGAATTGAACGAGGATAGCCAATGATTATTTTCTAATAAATCGTATTATACACAGAGATATATCACTGCCCAAGGAAATTAAATTAAATCCGCTTCGATAACTTTTGACCTCGTCGTTCAAAAATCTCACACATCATCGAGAAATATTTTTTCGCGATCTCACCGACGATGTTGAGCTTGATGATGTGACTCTTCTTCGGGTCGGTCGAGATTTGGCACTCGTACTCGCCTTCGTCGCGTGCCTGCACGTACTTAACCTGCAGGGTCCAAGTGTCCGACGCATCTACGAAAAGCGCTTGAAACCTTTCGTCCGGGATAAACATGGTTCTATCTACCGAGAGGATATGCGAGTCCCTTCTTCGGATCCACGACACCTTTTGCGTTACAGGAAACAACAGATTAATTTTAATAATATCGTACAAGTACTCGTCATTATTGTAAAAGATTTTTAGAAAGAAAATTTATATTCCATATCGTGGATATCGTGTAAGAATAAAATTTGGAAAAAATGTGTGAAGATAAAAAGGAAATTTTTATTAGATAACGATTTTTTTTTTTTACGTGATCAGTATGAATGTGTTGTTATTCAGTATTTCCAATATGATTTGAATAAGAAATTTTATTTCTATTGTAATATCATTCAGAAAAGATTTCATATCTTATTTTACATACATCTTGTTTTATCTAGTAATTTAATTTTTACAATTTTATGTTAATAGTAAGTAAATGATAAAATCTATTCTACTTTAAAGTATTTAAATATTCTTTTTCCAATACTATGAAGAAATGAAGATGTACTTTGAAACGAAGATGTCCTTAATATTGTATATCTTTTGATTTTCATCCTTTTTTAACGTTTAAATGTATCCCTCTTTTTTTTAAACAATATCATACATTTCCTTTTCATTCATATTTTAACAATAGAATATTTGAATAATTGAAAAATTCGAACGATAGAACGTTTTGAATAATAGATTTTCGAATAATGGAGCGGGAATTTAATCTAATTATTCGCTGTAAATTTTTAATTTCTCATCTGAAATATGTGGTTGAAATATAAAAGTATGTTTGTTCTACTTATTTATTTTGAGGAGAAGCGATCAATAGGATTGGATAAATCTAGTACGAATCTCGGAATAAATCAATTTTTATTCGAGAATAAATGATCCGGAGGGGAAAAGAATATTATTTGAATTATCTTGCCAACACTTTGATCGTTAGTGTCAACGCTATAACGTGTATTAACACACGTGACTATAAACTTGCGAAGCGTTTCTTACAAAAGTTTGACACAGACAAAGAGTGTTTAAAACTTGTTTAGAACTCGAACAGGAGGAGTTTTCAGAATCGTGTCTCTATACCCCCTTTTCCCTCGTTAAAGTGACTAGAGCACGGCTTGAAAGTTTTGGTCACCCACTTCAGAATCGCCTTTCATATTCTTAGATCCAAAATTGGATCTGCTCTTTGAAGATGAATTATGTCTTGTTCAAATATTGTTAAAAGAATAAACAAGGAACTTTAATCGTATGTAAATGTCGCCTTATTATATAACTTTATAACAATACTTATTATTGTATAATTAATACATAAATATTTAAGAGACTTAACAAATAATGTTTGATACGTTATCTTTATAGATCGATCTATCTCGCTATTATTCGATTAGAAGAAAATTTTCCAAACTTTTCATTCTATGCAGAGTCAAAAACTTTCCATCACTTTTTATGATTTCCTTCGTTGAAATTAAATCGGTAAAACATTACGTATAACTTAAAAACGAGAAGGATCCTCGAGTTCCACGTTTTGCATCTCGGATACACAATTCAAACTAAATTCGTAAATGAAGAACTTCGATAAATCTTCAAATTTAAACATTTTCTTCGATTTTCAAATCAAAGTTTACAGTTTCTCTTTTTTCTCCACCGAGTCAATTAATTATTTATCAACGATCAAAGTGAGATTGGCAAAACAATAACCGTATCTGAATACTCGTCGCCGATTCGAGCGAAGGGATAGATAAAAACCGGGTCCAATTCGATCTTTTTTATCCACCAGACGTATCGCGAGAATTATTAATCTCTTCCTCATGCGCCCCATTGTTAGATTTTTGGTCCGTTTCTTCCGCGTCGTCGATGGAGGTCGTGCAAAAAACGAAATAAAGCAACAGAGAAAGAGAGAGAGAGAGAGAGAGAGAAGGAGAGAGAGAGGAAGGCAAGCAGTAACCAGTGACGAAGTGAAATTCAACTGTGTCTGGCTGGAAATTCGCGAGCTCCTCTCGGATCCTGAATACGGATCGAGAAACTCTCTGGAAAAAGCTCTGGAAAATACACCACGAGATGGAAAAAGAGAGAAAGAGAGAGAGAGAGAGTCTGACTCGACTTCCCTCGATCCTGCTCGATCAATCTTCTTTCCCTTGTCTACGGTTAATTTATCGTGGGGCGATCGACTTGGCCGACCCGCCTCCTTCCTTCACGTGGATCTCCCTCGAGAAGAAATTGTATCACGGAGTATATATTCGATCTATTCTCGCGATAAGCGAAGGGGGGAAAGGTGGTAATGCGGAGGAATCCTGCTGAAGGTGGTAAATTGGAATGCTTTAATTAAATCAGTGTTAGAGAGTGATATATCTGTGATTTTACAGAGGAATATATTATAGCAGGAAATGGGATGAATTAAGTGTATTGGAGGAGGAAGGATTTTCAAACGTGTTTAATTCTTTATGACAGCGTTCGAGTTAATTTTGATGAAATGAAGAAGTTTTTATCGCCTAATTCTTTGCCGTGTCTCTTCTTTTATCCCTTCAATAATTTATTATCAATGTGAATCTCCGAATTCCTAATTTATACTCAATCGGATAAATATAGTTTATTATTATATCTGTAAATTTTGTAAATAATACAATCATAAGTATATATTAATAATGATATTAATTCTATTAAATATATTACACTCGATGTATAAAAGATAGGCAGAAAAGTAGCGTTCTCGAATAAAAATAAAATTCTCCGATCCGAACTAATCATTTTCTTTTCGTTTCAAATTCTTTCTTCGATATAAAAATGGAACATACGAGGGGTTTCCGCATTACGATTCTATGGACGCTCGACTCAGCGTAGTCACGGCTACGTTTTTCAACTCCGGATGTAGCCTCCGGAGTAGACTTAGAAATCGAGAGAACGTTGCAATCAACGAAGTGGAGTAATTGCCTTTTCGTTCCGTGTCCCGCGATACAACGATCGGGGTTATAATTCAACTCGCGGGGGAAAAAAAATTGCAAATGGTTAGATCTCTGGTGTATCGATAGCGATCCGCACAAGGAGAACCGTAATCCCTCGGTTAATTCTCGAAGTGGAATCGTTATCTTTGGAAATTCCAAACCGGATGGAATTCGTTTATCTCTCTGGCGAACAGTGTTCGTTGAAACTGAGGAGCTTTTCCTTCTCTCTCTCTCTCTCTCTCTCTCTCCCTCTCTCCTTCTCTTCTTCCCTCTATCCTTTTTCTCCGACTCTCGCTCAATTACGATTGTCGTGCCATTAATTTCAACGGGGAAGGCAATAAATTAGTAAATCCCCGTTTCTCGCGCGTTGGCTTACGTTTCATCGATCGATTTCCGCCTTTTCTGCAATTCCTTTTTCCAAACTTTCACGACTTTTAACTCGCCCGATCCCGAGAAACGAAAAGGATTTAATTGCGCCACCTCACGGATCCTTAAAATCCTTTCCCTCTGTGAATTTCCCCGTTCGTTGAACTGGGATTCGCACTCGATTACACGAACGACGAACCATTGAATTTTACCTAATCCTATTTGGCCTATAAAAATTTTGGAACAGAGATATTTTGTGCATATATATATATATATATATATATGTATATACAAATGATCGATTTTATTTTAATAATAAAGATATTATTTAAGATATAGATTTTACAAAGTTGAAAATTTTTATTGTTTATATATTCAATTATATATATATGAAGATTCTATTATATACAATTACACATGAATTAAGTGTATTAAATTTTGTATCGCTTCTATTCTCACACGACTACGAAAGTTTTAATAATAATATTCTAACAAAAGATGTAAAATACTCGCGAATAATATTTTTCATAGCGCATCGTATCGGAGTTTATCGTAACATTACGTCATCACTTTTAACGTCGGATCGATTTTTCAAAGAGGGACAAATTGCGATGCAACAAAAATGAAGTTACAGAAAAAAAAAATAATAAAAAAAGAAAAAAATCTCTTCCATTAATCTCTCGAAACCTCTCTATTGATGTTACAGTTTCGAAAAAAATATCCCAAATATCCCGGCCGCGTTCCATCGGACGCGGAATACGTGGAAAACAAATTGCGAAGTCACCGGCGTTGTTCCGCAACCCCGTCCACCAGGAGACTAATCGTTTCGAATAGTGTATCCGGCGTGGCGAGGCGCAATGGCCGTTGACGGAAAGTCAGCAGTTTTAAGGGCACGTTTAATTCCACGCTTGATAAGTATCGAAAGAATAAGCGTGCGAGGAGGGGAGGTGCAGAGGGGTCGCGACTCTTATGGGTTCGCGGACCCTTAAGTACGCAATCGGACGATTATACATACGAGGGTCGCGTGTCACCAGACACTTAGTCCTGCCTCTTTCAACGTTGTTGCACACATTTCGAATGGAAGGCAAAAAAAAAAAAAAATTTTGTTAACGAGTGATACGGCTAATTTTTACGGTTCACTCGATGCTCAAAAGGGAGGATGATCTCTGATCTCTCATCAAGTATGGAGAATTTTTAAATGTTAAAAAAATGTTTGCTACAAGGAATGAAATATATCAATGAATATAATTTTAGAGATTCAAATTTAAAAAAATGTTGCAAACGTACAGATTTTATAAATGGAAAGGAATTCTCGATATTCGTGAAAATTCATAGTTTGCAATTTCAAAGCTCAAGATAAACACTTTGAACACGTTGAAAATCTAAATTTTTAGTAAAACGAACATAACAACTATTCATTTATTGTTATCGTACGATAAATATATATAATAACGGTTAGAAAAAATATTTGCACAATATTTTTAATTTCCAAACATTTTTATCGCGTTTTAATATTATCAGACTCGTTGCACGCAAAGTTCTAAACGCGACATTAATTAATATTTAAATATGGCAATAAACATAATAACAGCATACAGGCACATCGTAATCGTTAAACACACCTAAAAAATCTAAGTCGTCCTCCTTCGTGATGCGAAGATGCGAAAATTTTATTAAAACCCAATTATCCAACTAATATCGCCCAAAGACGATCTCTCTCTCTTTCTCTCTCCCTCTCTTTCAATCTCCTCATCTCTCTCCTATTTTCCCAAATACCCAAACCGTGAAATTCACGCAACTCCCTATAATCCTCACTAACGGGCACAGAGAACGCGGGCATATTAGACTTTTATAGTTGCTATAAATCCCCCTGCATGCAGATCGGGAGGGGAGGAAGGGGTTTGATGTATCGGTTTATCGCCGCCGTTTCGATTATTGTAATAGCGGGTGGGGTTTTCGCTCGCACGCGAAATATCGGCGGAAACGTTAGGCCGTTATATGGCCTTTTTTTTTTTTTTTTTTTTTTTTTCCCCTCGATGGCGGATCAACGATTTCGTGGAATACCGCCGATACGATGATATCGTCACCGTCGAGTCACGACGGAAAACTCGCGTGCGAATAAATTCCCTTTTATCTTTCCCTTTCTTCTATCCTATCTATTCTATCTTGTGCTTTTCGCACAAGGAGAAGGATTGCAAAAGCAATGGACGGAGTGGGACGGAGGGTGAGACGGATTTTCGAAGTTGAATCGGAATTGGAATTAAGGAATCCGTAATTTTGCGCTCGACGTTGATGGCGGAAATGCAAAGGAGCGAAGTAGCTCCTTTTGATCTCTTTGATTCGGGAGAATGGTTTGCGTCGACTTGAAACTTTCGTGACGAATTGTGTGTCCGGTGTTGGAGGCGAGACGGAAGTTGGACAAGTTTTAATTGGTAGGTTGTTTCGTTTAGCGTTGTAGTCGTGGTGTATAAGACAGTTAAGGCGAAAGACTTACCGATTTATTACCGAGCTGTCGCACTTTGCACGGCAGGTAAGCATGACTCCCCAGCTGGGCCGTGATGTTCGTGGGGGTGTTTGAGTCGAAGTACGGCCCCGTGTAAATCCCGTCGAACCTCTTCACTAACGAATGGGATCTTGTGCTCACCCCTGCAAAATGTTCGATCGATATTTAGACATTCATTGTGTACGTACAGATTTATAATATAATATAAGTAAAGAGAAATTCGTTTTATTCTTTATATTGTATCACTTGTTTCAAGAAATTTCCACGATATCTGTCACGATGTTAATATTTTCGTTTTCGAAGTTTTAATACGATGTTAAAAAATGTCTCTTCCTCTATCGTTTCATCTGACTCAAAATCTTTGGTATCCTCAAAAAATATGATATAATTAACATCTTATAGATGTTAATAAACTCGTTTTATTCTATTGTATCATTTGTTTTAAGAAATTTCGACGATATCTGTCCCGATGTTAATATTTTCGTTTTCGAAGTTTTAATACGATGTTAAAAAATGTCTCTCCCTCTATCGTTTCATCTGACTCAAAATCTTTGGTATCCTCAAAAAATATAATATAATTAACATCTTATAGATGTTAGTAAACTCGTTTTATTCTATTGTATCATTTGTTTTAAGAAATTTCGACGATATCTGTCACGATGTTAATATTTTCGTTTTCGAAGTTTTAATACGATGTTAAAAAATGTCTCTTCCTCTATCGTTTCATCTGACTCAAAGTTTTTAGTATCCTCAAAAAATATAATATAATTAACATCTTATAGATAGATTATAAAAATATAAAAGTTATACATATATATTTTCTGATTCTTACATTTTTCTGAATTTTCCAATATAAATTTGTACATTTATACTTCTCTCAACAGCGGCTCTCACTTCGAACCGCTTCGACAAAATTGAAAAATCCTCTCGTTTTTTCCCTCCCTCCCTTCCGTAATCCCGTTGCAGAAACGAAAAACGTTTGTTCCAAGAATCTCAAGTTTTGACCACGAGTTTCGAACCTCTGTCTGACGTTACAGAATACATTAACACGGCCACGATGTTTCGATCACGCGAGCTTGTTATCCCGGACGAATTTACATTACACGACCATCCCTAATATATTTCCACGATGGAATAGTAAAAAGGATATATTCGTGACCTCCATATGTACGACTCCACTTCTCTCTCTCTCTCTCTTTTCAAGCCTCGAATCTCCGCTCTTTTCATTCCCTTTTTTTTTTTTTTTTTACCTTTCTCTGATAAATCCTATCGGAGAAGTTCTGCCAGAGCATCGAGGAAATGGAAACTAATCCGGAGGATTTCGATCCTACCACGTATCCAAAGTCGGATCAACTCCGCGGGCTTCGTTCCAACGACCTTGAGGATCGACTTCCGTTACTGTGACGTTAGAATAAAAGGATCGAAATCGAATCGTTCGAGTCCATCCTCCCTCGTTTTGGATACGTTTATTTTTTTTCGAATAGATATGATCCCCTCCCCGGATATGATGCCGGAAGATCGACGGAAATTACCAGAGGCTCGAGATACGGGAAACGCTTTGAAACCGCGTTCGTCGAAAAGTCGTTCGAAAACGGTATCTGGCGGCGCGCAGAAATCCGATCACTGTGGAAATTGAAGAGGGATCTTTCGATTTATCGTCGAAAGATTCGAGACTGAAAAGTATCTAAAAGTCTATACGCCAACGTGTTAGAAAGAAGAAGAAGTAGAAGAAGAAGAAGAAGAAGAAGAAGAAAAAGAAGAAAAAGTAAAAGAAGAAGAACTCGATGGAATAGATACTCGAAGAAAGTTTCTTGTACTTGATCTAGTGGATATCGTTGGCAACTCGTCGCACGCGTAAGCGTTTCTTTCTTCCACATTTCCACACACCTCGGTCCTCGAAAAATCTTCGATTATTACGATATCGCGGATAGAAAACGGAGAGGAAACCACCACGAAGGGAATATCAACGTAAAGGGTTATGGCAACAGTCAATTGTGCGAAACCAGAGGCATTCATCCTTGCTGTAACTGGCGGTTTCATAGCTATTTATATGGCATCCGTAACGAGAAAAACAATTGGCCGGATCGAGGACTCCGGGATACGGTTCTTTCATTTATTGGACGACCGCTCTATTGATTGAGTTATTCAGGTCATCAACAACTTTTTCTTCTCGTTCTGCTGCACGAAAATAGCTGCCATCGACGTATTACTTTTCACGTTTCTCTCGTTTTTTCGTTTTTTTTTTCGTGGTTCGATGACAAATAATGAAATCTATTTTTACTTTAATTGTATTCTCGACTATTTCTCTCTTTTTCCTCTCTTCAATTTTTACCTTTCTGAAATGTAAAAGGATCATCATTATTATTATTATTATTATTATTATTTTGATATTTTAAGTAACAATAATAATTTTTATTTTTATTTTATAATTTGAAATGTAACGTAAGAACAAGTTTATCGATTACTCGATAATATGCAACGGATCGTGAAGTAGCGTAACGTTTTTAGCGACTATTCCTCGAGACGCATGTTTCGCGTTCAAGTAAAAACGCCAGTCATTACCGCAGTACAAACAAAAAAAAAAAAAAAAAAAAAAGAAAAAAAAGAAAAAGAAAAAGTTCCGTGTTGATCGCGGATGACGTCACTGCAGGGAAACGTGTTAAGGGAGTATAAGGAGAGCATTTATATTAACGATTATTGCTGTATTATTATTCAACATACTTTACAACCGGTCGAATGAAAGAATGGTAAAGAAAGAAAGAAAGAAAAAAAAAAAAAATCTATATCGTGCTTCCCTTTTACGTGGGCGCAGCAAATTAAGTAGAATGAAAATGTATTATGACAGCCGCCGAAGTAGAGAAGCTCGCGATATCTCCTTATCTTGCGATTTAATTTTTACAAATTATACCTTCTACCGTATGAATAACATTTCCTCCTTTATTCGAGAACACTTATAATTTAATAATAATTTTTATCAATGATAAGAACATCTATTTATCTCTACACCCGATATACTTTAATGAATACTCACGGATATGAATTATTTTACACGATAAATTATAAATTATTGCTGAAAAATTTTCTGAAACTTCATTATTCAAATTTCTACTTTATTTTTACAAAATTGCCTTGTCTTAAACATTGATAATACAATCTACGAATATATCAAACGCATCGTTAAAATTTCAATCAATTTTTTACCAAGATATTAACGATAAAACGATACACGTTCGTATATATAATATATACAACGTGCGAAAAATTCGGAAACGAAACGAGATTCAAGCGTCGAAAACGTGGGAAAGGAAAAGGAAATCGCGGAAACTTCTGCGACACTCGATCGATCGGATGGGTAGGAGCCGCGTGGGCAAAAATCGAACGTCCGCATTGGCAAATAACATCCGGCCAGATAAATCCACACCCTTTCAATAATGCCGGTATTCATAACATTTAGAGTGCACGGATTATTGCATTATTGGCATCGCTCGATCGGGATAAACGTTCGAGAGAACCGCTCGAGTGTGTCAAAGCGATTCCACGTATATACACACACACACACACACATACATATATATATATATGCGAGCTCTTGCCATTTATATCGAAAGTCGCACGATATCCGCAATTGTCCGGCGTGCGCAATTTTCCCTCGTCCCATTGTCGTCTCGGTTTCAACGTCACGAATACTTAGTCACCCGTGCCTCGTCACGGAAACGTTCCACCGGCGCATCCGGTTTTTAACAGCGAAATGCAACGGATGAGACGACAACGACGTCAACGACGACGACGTTGACGACGAGACTCGCATTAGGCTCGTTGTCGTCCACGAAATAGCCCCTATTGAACAGAACACATATAGAGCATGATTCTAAAGAAATAGCCCCTATAGAACATGATTCTAAACGCGCGGAAGTTTAACGTTTCCTCCACAATGGTGGTGTGCAATGGGCAAACACGCGCCCAAGAGGATGCAACCGATTAAACGTCCCTCTTGCTCGTTGTTACCGGTCTCGAAACAATGTATTCGTACGAAATCGAGTGAAGCAAGTTGCTCAAGGGAAGAGGGGATAAAGTTTCGTCGAAAACTCGCTCGAGAGGAGGAACGAAAAGATGCTTAAAGGAGGATCGCGAGGGGACCTTGAGGACGAAAATACCGTGGCTGTCGACTGAGTATACCGCGTATATTGTCTTCTCGAGTGGAGGGAAAGATATAAGCGGGATTCCTCGATCCATCTTTTCCAAGTCAGTTTGGAAAACAGAAGAACTCGTAAGAGTTATTCTATTCAGATTTATTTTTAATCGATGATTCTTCGCTATTCAAGAGATATAATACTCGAGACGAGTATTTTGATCTAGACATTTCCCCCCCCCCCCTCCAAAAATGTGTGCTTCATGGAAAAATTCCAGTTTGAAGGACGCGTCTCGTGTGAATTCGATGATCGATCAATGACCGCTTCTATCCGATTTGTATCCCGCTTATTCCGAGATAGCCGATATCCTTTTAACTGCATCTCGGCCAATCGTTCCACGCTCGACGAATCGATTTGCCAACGCGTTTCCGTTCAGACGACGCGAATTGGATTGGCAATCAGTGCGCACCCGATCGGTATATAGCGTGCAGACCAAGGACAAACCACGAAGTTCATCCTTTCGTCAAAGAAGAAAGGATTCTTGGAGGAAAGTAGAATATCGAACGCGTTTCCTTTTCTCTGAAATCTCGATACTATTTCAGATTAGAAAGAAACTTTTAGGATTTTTATGGAATCACATAATTCAGAAGAAATAAATAAATGTCATCTCGAACTTCGTTAGAATTGTTTCGACTTACGGCAACGATTTATTGCCGCCAATTTATTCCTTGAAATTACGTTTCAAGTAAGATTGCGATCAAGAAAGAGGCGAATCTCAGTTTCCACCATCAAGAATTGGATATAAATAGACGTACCGTGCCTGTCTTTTCTTCCCTCCCTTCCCCAGAAAATTACGTCTCACGTCGAGATCACAATCAAAGATGCGCCACCCTTCGAAATCGTGGACTCATCATCGACAGACGGTCGCAAATAAACTGTCATCCTGACGTTGCGCGTCTCCCTCCCCCTTCTCCCCAGAAAATTCCTTCGAGTTCAAAGATGAAGCAACACCCTACGAGAAATGAAAAAACTCGAACACAGACATTCGTGCTTTCACACTCTCTCTCTCTCTCTCTCTCTCTCTCTCTCTCTCATTTTCTGAAACGTTGCTCGAGTTATCCCCGTTACTCCGCCGACATTCCTGGAAATCACGTTTCACGCCGAGATTACGGCTTAAAGAACAAAGGTGGAACACGAAGGGGTAGGAGGAGAGGGAAAGGAGGAACAAAGCGGCACGGTGTAACGCATCGCTTATGACCGTTCGTAAATTTCAGAGGGAATGAATCATTCACGGGGGTAAACAGAAGGGGGTTGAAGTTGTTAGCGATAGAGCTATGCACAGGGGTTTGAATCGTTACAACGCGAGTTGTACATCGGCCTGTGTAATTATATTCCTATCTTTGTTACAGCAGACTGGATGGAAACTGGGTTAATTGGAAATTTGGAATTTGTGTCGTTCGTTTTAGGAAAAAAAAGAGAGAGGATGCTTGCGTAGAAGGGATCGTTCTCGAAGGATATCGATCGCTGTAAAGCGTTTTAGATCCTCGTTATAAATTATATTATTTCAGGAAATAAATAGTCTCGAACGATACATGTCGAGTTTCGAATAACAGATCTCGTGGAGAATTCGTGGATCGACGAGTCTGTTTTACGTATCCAATCAATAAATAATTCATCCTCGAAAATCTATATATTGCTGATTTGGCAAGAAACGATGGTTATATATATATATATATATACAGGAAAATGTAATCGGCCGTTAAAACGAGAAGGCGGCCAGGAAATTGTAGTAGTGCCTTGTATCTTGTCCCGTTCCGTAATTGCGATTCAATGGAATTACGATTCAACCGATACGTAATTAAAACGTGTTTCCCTCGTTTCTCCTCGCTTGTCAATCCTCCTCCTCCTCCTCCTCCTCCTCCTCCTCCTCTGATTATCGCGTTAATGCGCTTATCGCGTTACACGCTCGAGCGGAAAGGAAACGGCACGATGATAGATTATTATTCGTTACGAGCAATTTACGCGTTAAATATGCGCAGATGGGTCTCGATGGGATGATCGTACGATCGATTGACGAGATCTGTTTCTCTGTTCGAGAACGATGAGGAGATAAAGGAAGAGGGGAGGGGGAAGGAAAAAGAAGAGAAAGAAAGAGAGAGAGTATCGAGATTTTATAGTGGATGCGTGAGTGGAAATAAATTTCTTGGAAACAGAATCCCTGATAGATATTTCCCTGGAGATGGAGAGGGAGGGAGAGGGAGATGCGCGCGTTGGATGGAAAAATGCGGTGGAAAATCGAAATGGATGTTTTTCTTTTCTTTTCTCTCTCTCTCTCTCTCTCTCTCTCACCCCCTTCGTTAGAGACACGCAGTTCGGTGGTAATTTTACGACGTCATCGGACACTAAACTCGTGTATAAATCTGGATTCTCGCTCCCCCGAAGATCGTTCCTCCCCTTCAGTGGAGCTAATTCGATTTTCTGTCTTACCAGTTCATCAAACATTTACGTTCGAACTGGTTCGATCGTGCACTTTCCACGACGCGCCTCGAATTAATGGTTCTCGTTCGATTGGAACGTCGCATCGATCCACCCGCGTTAAGATTGTGCGTATAATAAAATAACTCGAAACGCACAGTTAAACGAGATTGTAATAATAATTAATAACGATATATATATATATAAAAGAAAATTCTTGCTTATCAAAGACGTTTAATCGTGTAATTAAATTCCACGAATTCCATCGATATCGATCGCGACACGACGAAACAGGAAAACTTCGTTTTATCGAAGATCCATTTGAACAGATTGATCAATTGTAACGTAGCGCACACGCACGTTCACGAATAATGGAAACTTCGTGTAAGATCCATCCGCGATACACGTCAGACAGTGGCCAATCCAATCGTTCGAGGGAGCGATTTCTCCGGAATTCACCGTCGTTTGTTCGAAACACCGAAATACTCGTTGGTGGCTAAGCCACGTCGGTTAATCATCGTGCAGGTGTGTAATCGTGCCTTGATTACGTCACGGTTGGAAAGTGCACACGATGCATTTGCACACACACCGACGATAGAAATTGTTTTCCCGTTGCGGATTTCGGTGTAGTACGGGAGCGTACGCATAGTTGAAATCAATTAAGAGCGTGTGGATGGAGAGAGCGTGTGGGGGAATGAGGGGGCGGAATACGATAAATTGTTTAACAAAATTAACCGAGTGCACGTTGTTAGCTGCGTTAATGGCGTCGATTCCCCTCGCTACGTTCGGCCAAGTTCTACGAGTGTCGTTTAGCTCGCGGTTTGGCAGCCTTTCCCGTGTATTTCCATCTTAATGCGGTTCGCTCGATAACGATCGAGAGCAGGGAATGGAAAACGTTATGTTATTATATAAAACGAATCGCGGCACACGGTTAATGAACAATGACAACAACGACTCGATGTTTGCACGAAGATGAGATCGATCGATCGAAGGAGAAAAGGGGATTACAAGCGATATATTCGATGGCAATCCTTTTTACCGCCCCTTTCCTTTTTTCTCTCCTTTTTCTTCAACCCTCCCTCTCCAGACAAGAGTCCTGAGAAGAGCGTCCTCCAGCATAAAGGAAAAATTATCGGCGGATACGGAGACAGACAGAGAGAGACAGACAGACAGAGGGTGTCGCCGAGTATGAAAGGGGGGAGCGATATCCTGGAAGATCATTAAGATAAAACATGTCTAAAAGGGAAGGAGAAGAATTGATGGAGCGTTTCCAAGCAAGTTGAATCAGCAAAAAATTTCACGTTGACGAGAGAGGGTGTAATTAACGCGTTTATGGCGCAGCTAACAGGGATTTCCATAAGGAGTTACATAAGCCTCGAGATTGATGCTCCTCTGTAACGAAGACGCGGATATCGCGTGACCCGTTTCAAGCGACGCTACGTCATCAATTATATTCTTTTTTTTGATATCGTGGTATATATGTAAAGAGAAAGCGATAAACAGCTTATGCTTATGTTTTAACCGTTAATTAAATTTAAATTCATTACTCCATTATCAATGGAGATTATCAAAACTGGGAAGAGCGCGAAGTTACGAACCGAGCCGGGGATCTCGCGATCGATCGCTATCTTCACGTTCCTTGTCTCCGATAGACTACGTTGGCGTGTTGTCACGAAGCCACAACGAGAAGAATCTTCGTCGTGGAAAAGGGTGTAAAAAAAGAGAGAGGAAGGGAGAGGAGGGAGAGAGAGAGAGAGAGAGAGAGAAGAGAGGCTAACCGTATCATCGCGATGCAGCCGCGCGAGAGATGAAATCGATATAGACACGTCCCTGAACGACGTCAGAGCGAAGATGAGGGAACACTCTCTACCCTTTTGCCTTCACCTCGCCTCCCCCTCCCCCTTATTCCCCGATGACGGTATCATCGCGTCGTCGACACGGTGACCCGACGACGAGGATGGCGAGGAATAAAAAAAAAAAAAAAAGAAAAAAGAAAAGAAAACTGCAACGAAGAGAAAGAGGAGAACAGGAGGAGGAGGAGGAGGAAGAAGAAGAAGAAGGAGAAGAAGAAGAATGGGGAAAAATACAATACCGTCGCCGCGACAAACAAGGGTGGCGCTGGATACAGCCCTGGACCGGGTCCGAAACCAGCCCCCTCCCTCCACCACCCCTTCCTCTTCCCTCTTCTCTCTCTCCTCCCCCCCTCTTTCTGCGAGTCCTCCTTTTTCCCTCCACTCGCGTATCTCGATCCTCGACGCTCCCGTCGATCGATCGTCCGATACGCACGATCAGCTGCCGAATACTCGTGACGTGGAAAAACGCCAGGAAAACGCACGCCACAAACCCGCATATTATGCACGCGTGCTAATTTACACGTATACGCACAGTTACACCCCAAAATCTGATCGATCCATCCGCGGTACAAGTCTTCGGGTAGCAAGCCGCCCCGCCTGCCCCCTTTTCTCGCTCCTCTCCCGTTTTCACCTCGCTCCTTATCCCTCCCCCTCCTTTTCCCCCTTTTTTCCTTTTTTTTTCCCCCCTTTTACCTCTCGTGAAAATCTGGAAACTCGTGAAGATCGGACAACAAAGAGGAGAGGGAGAGGGTAGGGGGAAGGGTTCACACACAACACAGCGAGATTCGCGACAATTGACCGCCGACTCCACCATCCTCCACCAGCCGCGTTAACGGACACAGCGTGCTCGGACACACTTTCCCGCGGGAATCTCGAAAGATCGATTGACGATCGTTGCGAGGGCGAGGGATCGCACTCGGAAGGGGGGCCCGGAAACATATGTGACGGGCGGCGTTGAGATCTTACCGGTGATGCCTAGGAGAATCCAGCACACGAGGCACAGGACGTAGTAATTCACGTAAGAGGATCTCCTCATGATGACGACGAGCGCAGTGACGGCGACGGCGACGAGAACGACGACGCAGTTGCCTTCGACGGGTCCACTGACATCTCAAAACAACCAGCACACCAACCAAGCCCCCGCCGGTCCACCCTCTCTCACACTCCTAACCCTCCGTCGTCACTCTGTTCATCCTCCTCGCTGGCTCGACGCTGCTACCAGACCACCTCGTGCATAGTATCGTGTGTGTATATATATATATATATATATACTTTGTCACCCTTCGTCGCCCCTTTCCCCCCTTCTTTCTCGCGCACAATTTACCCTTTTTACGGATTTACACCACCGATCGTTCTCCTCTCCTCTCGAGATGACGTCGCTCACTGATCACACATAATTATCTCCAAAATTAATCGTCGCACCGTCCATCCTCTCTACATGTTATATCCTATGTATATATATATATATATATATGTATATATCGTCGTCGTGCGGTCCACCGCACACGTTGGTGTGGTTTTACCAACGTGTCTCTGCTCTCCGATCTGTCACGTCTCCCCCCAGAGAGACAGAGACAGAGACAGAGACAGAGAGAGAGAGATGTTTCCACGATCGAAACTTATCACGATTACGACGCGGGCCCGTGGTCACCAAGGGGGTCGCGGCTTACGTCCTCGCGCGATTACGGCCCCCTTTCGCCGACCGATCCTTCGAACACGGCTAACTACGACCGAGTTTTGCGTACGGGTCGTCTGCGGTTCGTCGTCCCGGGCGAAGCTCTGAAACCGCCGGGCCTCCAGTGGCACTGCCCGCGCCCGCCCGGGGATTCCGCGCAGGCGTGCTCTTTCTCCTCTACTCTGCCGATCAGTCAGCCTCCTCCTTCCTCCAGCCCTCCTACTCTCCCTCCATCCTCCTCCCTTACTTGCTCCTTCCTCCTTCCCCATCTTCTTCCCTGATTACTACCACCACTATCGCCGCCACCACTACGTCGTCGCCGTCGTAGTCGACTCCTCGTCGTTCTCGTCGTGCCGTCGTCGTCGTCGTCGTCGTCACCGACACTGCTACTGCTGCTGCTGCTGCTGCTGCTTCTGCTGCTGCTTCTGCTTACCACCACCGACGTCCGCCGTGGTTGCTGCTGCCTACAGTTACCGTTTCCTTCTCTTTGGGGAGACGTTCGTTCTTTTCCTGAACGAATTTCGCTTCTCACGCGATGTTGAAATCTTCTTCTTCGTCGTCGGATTTTTTCTCGATAAAGAATAAATAAGTAAATTTGCGGCTCGTCGATTGACCGGCGCGGTTTCGTTGTTTCGTCGTCAAAAGGATTTGAACGAATTTTGGCCCGATTGGAGCGGGCCCCCTCTCCTCTCTTTCGGTGTCTTTTTAATCAGCTTTCGCTTTGCTTCGGTCTTCCCCCCACCCCCGTGTTTACGATTCTTAATACAACCGGCTGATTACTTGTTCGACTTTCAGCATCCCACCACCATTTTCACGCTGCCTTTTCTCTCTCTTTCCTTTCCTCCAAGGAATCGCAATTTCAAGGAAATTTATATAGTTTATATTTGTTTATTGGTTATTATATGAAATGATATCATTCTCGAATCTTATTATCGCGGAAGAGAGGAGATGCAGGATGATCTCTTCAGTTTTATTTCTTCGAAAAATAATATCCCGCGTTTCCGTTTCCTGTATTTTTCCGTGATCCACTGAAGATTACGAGGCAGACAGCCTCCATGGAGATTGTAATGAATCCTCCTTAGGATTCTTTCGACCTATTTTTCGCCCGCAGCCGCGCGCTGTCGCTTCCTCCTCCTCCTCCTCCTTCTCCTCGTCTCTCGTGATTACCATTAGTTTCGCCACCGCTGTCTTCCTTTCTCGCCCGTTTTCGGGTCGCTTACGATTATTGCATTTTTCCGTGGCCAGTCCGCTTGTTCTCACCCCCATTCACGCTCGTTCGAGCTTCTCCTCCCCTCCTTCCTCCCCTTCCCGTTAAGTTAATCTTATTCAATCGGATGGATTCGATCGGGTATTAGTTAGCTCGCCGACGAAATTAATCGATTTTCATCGGTTACAGAACTCGAGGTTACATACGTTTAAGTCGATCGTGATTAATGGCAACAGTTCTTTCAATCCGGCCAAAGGATCTCGGATTAATTTCGTTGTAATAAAAGCCGTGACTCCGTTCCTCTATCCTCTTCTTTTTTCTTTCTTTTTACCTTCAATTACGCCCAGTCTCTCATTTTTTCGACTCTCCCTTTTCCTTCTTCCTTATTGTACATTATCATTGTACATTGGATTGGCGAGGCGGGAGACGGTTTTCCTCGAAAAACAAACTCGTCGCTTACTGATCCGCACTCCGTTCATTTTAGTCCCAGGTTTAATTATGACAAACGTTGCCTCGAGTTCACCATTTTATGCCCTTCCTCCCTTCTTAAGCCGCCTCGACTTTCTTCTTCTTCTTCTTCTTCTTCTTCTTCTTCTTTTTCTTTTTTTTGTCGCGGACAAATTGTGTGTCCTTTACGACGTTAACCTTATTCTCCCGAGACCGAAACGGTACATATTTCCTCGTAAAAGAAGTACTTTCGTTTCTTCTTCATTTTTCCTCTCCCTCCCTCTCCCTCTCTGTCTTTTCGTTTGTATATACCAGCCTTCTACCTCTTCTCTCCTCCGAGCCCTTTGCTCGACGAAACATATATTTTAAAATGTCTTCCGGTAACGTCGCCGCCGCCTCGTATTCCCACGGGAATGAAATATGTAACGGCGTATTACATTCCACCGAGTTACATTAGCGAAACGGTGAGGCGGTTTAATTGTTCGTCATCAACTTCATTTTAAACGTCTTCATCCCCGTTTAAACGAATACAATGAAAATTTAATCGCGCAACTTTTTATACGCGTGCCTCTTCTTCCCCTTCGCTTCGTCACTTCCTGAAATTCTCTCTCTCTCTCTCTCTCTTTCGCTCGCTTCTCTCCGAGGAATTATCTTCGCTCGTCGGGTTAAGTCTATATACACCGGGGTTGTTTAACTCATCCGAATCTCCATCCACTCCTTCTCGTAGGAGAGAAAAAAAAAATCTCGTTTGCAGGCAGATAAACATCTTTCCAACGGGGCTGCCGTGAAAGCCGTTACAGGTGACGGGGTTGATGTTAATCCGGCTGACAAGAACCTGGGTCCCATTAGGGCCTGCCGCTGAAAAAAAAAGAAAGGAAAAAAGGAAAAAAAGAAAGAAAGAGTGACGGCCAACCCCGTTCCTTTAAAACTTTCTTCTCTCACACTTTCATTGTCGCCGCCCACTGGACACCCCCTTCGTCTCTTTTATCCTCTCCTCTTCCTCCTCCCTTCTTTCTCTCTCTCTCTCTCTCTCTCTCTCTCTCTCTCTCTTTTTTCTCTCTCGTCTTTCGAGCAATCCACAATCTTTTGTATCCCCGCTGAAATTTTTACACTTCTTTCATCTACCTCGGCTGTGTGTCATAATTATTCGCGAGAAAAGACACTCGGCCTTCACCGAGGTTCATTCTTACAGTTTGCATAGTTGATTAACTTCGCGTTAATATATATATATATATATATATGTATGTATATAGATACATGTTTCTGCCAGATATTTTAAGATTGAAAATTGATTTAGTTTTGATAATTTAATTGCGTTTTAAACGATATTTATTGGCGATAGATATTAACGTAATTGGATGTATTATTTCAAATTGACAGTTTCAACATTCTAATGTATTTAAATTGTGAATAATATATCCGCGATTGATCTCGAACAGTGGAAACTATTTAATGGTAATTAATTTAATTATCATCGATATGATAGAGTGCACCGAAAACGAATTAAAATTATCTATCCAAAAATAAGATAACGCGAATCGTTGCGGTCGATATAAATCCATCTAAATTTTAATTATTCGACGAAACGATGACGGCCATTGCAATCTTTCAGAATTATTTACTTCGAAATGAGAAGCCTAAGTTGACTAACCTAGTAAAAGAAGAAAAGAAAGAAAAAAAAGAAAATAAAATAAAATAAAATTACGCGCGAACAACACGATGAGAGCTCGTTTGCTTTAAATTATCGGTTATTAGCGAAACCGCACGCTCCCACCTCCAACGTAATTTTTCACCCCGTCGATGATTACGATAATACACGGATTCTTGGATCACAGTGAGTCACGCGAGAATTATAAACCAACGTCCAACCAACGTCGAACTTGTTGTTCGAAATCTCCCTTAAAAAATCGATCTCGACTCAACGTTTACACCCTTTTTTTTTTTTTTATATATTCTTCGTGATGCAAGATCAAACTCGCCATCCTCGACCTTCTCCAGATGCCACGACGTATATAAAATTATAGTCCCCGCGATGCATTAACTTTCCAGATACACGTTGACTACGTTGACTATTCGATCAGAATTCGTAATTTCGAATGATCGACGACAGAAGGAGTGTGGAGGGGGTGGTGGAGTGGAGCGGTATTCCTGGTTCGCCTGGAAATTTAGAGCTGGTGTCCCGAATATGTAAGCCCTCTCACTCTCTCTCTCTTTCTCTCTCTCTCGGTTTGCCGCCCCGTTTCCATCGACGCAAGACCCAACGTCGAGATTAACCTTCATCGTCGGAAGTAAGTTTTCGAATCTCGGTTAAGTTTCCGACGTCGAGGAATTTGCATGGTGCGGTAGACTGGCATTTGGTAAATTACGGAACTTTTCTCTCGTTGGACGACGATCTACCGTTATCTTCGTCTGGCAGCAGGGAACCCCTTGTTCCCTCCTTCCTTATCGATCTTTTCCCTTTCTGTCTTTTCTTACACCTCTCCCCCTCTCCAAACCTCACCTCTCCGCGCCAGAGACTTATCCGACTCGTCGTTCTTTTAATTTTCCACCCGTTTCTTTCACTTTCTTCCGCTTCGTTCCCCTTTCTCTCTCTCTCTCTCTCTCTCTTTTTCTTTTTTTCGATCCATTTCTTTTGTGTTCTCTTTCGTTCCATTCTTTTCCACGTATTGTGTTAAAAAAAAGAAAAGAAAAGAAAACGCGGAAACAATAAGAAAGTAGACAGTAATATCCGTTAACAGGGAGGAAAGAGAGAGAGAGAAAAAAAAAGTTGTTTGATCAACGTGCGTTTCGAAGATTTTTCTTCCACGCCCTCCCCCTCCCCTCTACGTAATGTAAGCCGTTTTTCTCCTATTTCTGGTATCTCGAAAGTCGCACCAGTGAATATACATATATTTATATACCGTGTACCGTGCAAGAAACTCGCTGGATATTTTTCCACAGAGTTATACAAGTTTTTGTTCGTCGATTCTAGTCAAAGCTATTCACCGAGCTTTTATATAAATTCATTCGTCGTGTCCCGTTCTACCGCGTATTCAAGGGATACCAATATTCCGAATATAAAAACTGAGATGCAACATTTCGCGCGAAAAAAAGGATTTCGATCCAATTTTTTTAAAAATCCAAAATATATCTTCCCTCTAAATTGGAAATCCCTCCCTCGATAGAGAGTCTTCTCCTTTCCTTCTTCTCCTCGTTCTCCCGTATTTCTTTTTTTTTTCCCCTCTCTCTCAATCTCTCCATCTCTCCACGTCCGTCAAACCTGCCACATCCATCTCTCATTATTTTTTATTCCACGCGCCTTCTTGGTGCGCGCTTTCGCTTACGCAACCGCTTCCCTTTAAGCTTGGAACAGCTTTTACTACAGGAAAGGATTTATCGAAAGGAAAGATCGAGCACCGTGGTACGATTCTTC